GGTTGCTTCTACTTTTTGGCTACTCTGAGTAATGCTGCTATGAACATGGGTGTACAAATAATCTATTTGAGTTCCTGCTTTGAATTCTTTTGGGTATATATTCAGAAGTAGAATTGCTGGATCATATGGTAATTCTATGTTTAATTTTTTTTAAGAACTGCTATACGGTTTTCCACAGTGGCTGCATCATTTTACATTCCCAACCAGCAGTGCACAAGGGTTCTAATTTCTGTACTTCCTCATGAACACCTGTTATTTTGTTTTTGCTTTTATGATAGCCATCCCAAAGGGTGTCAAGTGATATCTAATTGTGGTTTTGATTTGCATTTCCCAAATGATTAATGAATGATATCAAGCATCTTTTCATGTTCTTGCTGGCCATTTGTATATCTTCTTTGGAGAAAAGTCTATTCAAGTCTTTGTCCATTTTTAAATTGGATTGTTTGAATTTTTTGTTGTTGTGACACAGGCATTCTTTACATATACTGGATATCAATCTATTATCAGATATATGATTTTCAAATATTTTCTCCCATTCCTGTGGGTTTCATTTTCACTCTGTTGATAAGAGGCCTTTGAAACACTCAAGTGTTTATTTTTGTTGTAGTACAATTTGCCTATTTTTAATTTTGTTGTTTGTGTTTTTGGTGTCTTTGCTTACCATTTTATTCCCAGTGCCTATTTCATAAGAGGCACTTGATAAATATTTATTGAATCAAAGACATAGAAAGATTGGTAGAGCCATAGATATGGATATAATTGTCTCATTATATGCAGTAGTTATGAGCTATAAAGTCCTCGTGAATATCAAGTTACTAAACACTCAGCATTCTCTTACGGGAAATGCAGGGTTAGGTTCTTGCAAGCCTCTGTTTATACCATTTTCATCAATTAATCAATACATAACCTTGATTTATGTGTGTTTCTGTTTAAAGACAACTTGTTTAATATATATTGTTGATTCATTAACATTGGACTTATGGCCAAGAGCATTACAACGCATGTCTGAATGATGTTTATCTAACACACATATTTTCTCCATAAGGCACATCACAGCCTTCTTGCACTTAGGAGCACTAGACTGTACTTCAGCTCTATGCATGGGGGCCATTTTCAGCAGCAAAATCACCAAGAAAAAGCACACACACCAAAAAAAGGCACTAAATACACTGTGAAAAGAACACTTATTTATACTCTGAGAGCTGACACAAGAAGACAGAGCATCACCTTGCTTGACCTCAGCTGGGAACATGTGTGTAACGTGACTTGAATTTTTCACTACTTTTTACATGTCCCCAAATGATCACAAAAGCACTGCAGTTATTGATTTTGGGCTTACAAATAAATTTTAGCAAGTGGGCAAATTTACAAATATAGAATTCATGAATAATGAAGCTCCACTACATTTATGTAGATATATCAGCAAAGACATAGTCACAGACATATAGGTAAAGATATCAACATGTTCATACACTAAAACATAGATATATGGATATAGCCATAGCCATTCCACAGACACAGACACATACAGTTACAGACTTCAATACATATACACATATATCTACTTATCAGATTGACAAAGATTGATAGTATATAATATTGGAGCAAATGATTAATTAACAACCTCTTTCATACAATCTTGATTTGAATACAAATTACTACCAACATTAGAAAGGGAGTGTGGAAATAACTATCAAAAATTTAAAAGTGCATATACTTCACTGAAAAATCCACTTTTAGAAATCTATCCTATGAAATAATTGTAGAAGTGATCAATTTTACAAGTACAAGTATCTTCAGTCTGGCATTGTTTGTAACCATGAAAAATTAAAAATAATCAAAACAGCCCTTGAGGAGAACTGGTTAAATACATTATAGTCCATCAATACAATGGAATATTAGGCAGTTGTTAAAAAATAACGATCTGCATGTGGCAACACAGAATGATGCTCGTAATATGTGTGAAATAGAAAAAGGAAATTGCATTATAGTGTGTAAATTCTGAAGTAACCTTGTCGAATCCAAATATATATGGTTGTATATATTTCATTTACATTTCAGTGTAAACATTTTATTTTATTTATGCATACAAGATAGCTGAAATGATATCAACATTGATTGTCTCTGAGTCATGGGCTGGCTTTTTGCTCTCACATCCCTCTCCCACATCTCTCTGTCCTTTACTGCATCACAAGGAACTACATATCTTTGTGTCCCTTTCCCTCTGGCTCCCAAATAAGTTCAAGTATTTGGAGGCAATGTTGTAAGATTAGACGGTGGGAGGAGGGGAGAAGCCAGGGTCTTTCCTCCGCTCACTGTCTGCTTTGGGCCATGTCTCCAGCAGCAACAGTAGCTCCTCTGCTCCACCTCTGAAGTCTAGTGAGGCTTTTCCTTTGTGGCTCCATTTCCCACCAGGCTGACCTATTATAGTTCCAGCTTCCACTAACAGTATCTCATCTTTAATGACAATGGCCCCTCTCTTTATCCTGTCAGCCTCAGTGTGGTAGCAGTTTCTGCTTCTGCTAATGTCTAGATTGCCTTATGCTCCCTCTTTGGATCCTCAGATCCTCAATGACCCTCCTAAGTAAGCCCTTGTATGAAATTTCCTCTGCGTAAAATACCTAGAACAATTTCTCTTTTCTGACTGGAACCTGACTGACACGGTAATTGGATGGGGAGGAGGGAAAATACTTTCAATGTTGCTTGTTTGACAAAATAACACAATACCAGGGGGAAAGGGACCATTCTAAAAATTTTCTTCCAAAAAATGAAAATCTGAGGAAACTTCACATTTTACAGTGATCACAGAATAATAAAAGAAATTGTCTTTCAACCATAAACATTATACAGTAAATGACTACTGTAATCCATGATCCTTCACCATCCTAAATAATGAACTTTGCTTAACATTCATTATTGTTTCATTTCAAACTAGAAACAAATCAAACCTTACAGTCTTTGGCCCTGTTTGATCTGTGGCACCACGTTTTCACATGGCATGTTGTTCTGTCTCCTAATTTGGTTGATATGCTGACCTTACAGGAAAGACCTACCTAGCTATCCCTGGAGGGTCACCTCAGATTGGCCAAGATTAAAATGATGGATAATGTCCAATGTAGGTAAAGGTATGAGAATACCTGGACTTAAATACTTTAATTTGGCATCTTGCAAGATTTTCCTTAGTTATCACTACACTATAGATTCTTAGAGAGCAAGGATTATTTCTTGTTTTTCTGTAAACTCAGTTTATAGTACACTGTCTTGGACTTAACTAGGTGTTCAAAAAGATATTGTCTTGGTGTGCCCTGAAGTTCACTAAGATACCATTCCACTCTTGACCAGGAAAGGGATCACATTTCTCCTCTGCTACCTCTAGGGCTTAAATAAACACCATCAAAATTAAAATGGACTAGAGTGGGGATACTCCATCCTCAGTCTCAGACACTCTTCATCACATCCTGAAATATTGAAATATCACTAGATTTCCAGGCTCAGCTTATATTCTACCTGTGTTCATGAAACACTGCTGATTACCTTGCCCAAAACTGATCTTTCTTCAGTCTAAATTATTTTTACAGAACTTATCATTATCTACTTTGGATAATTTATATACTTCTTCTCTTCCTTACTGAATTATAGGATTATTCCCAACATTTAATAAAGACAGGAATCAGGTCTAATATATTACGAGACCTCCGAAGTACAAGCACACTATTTGCTAATATAATTTATTTGTTAGATGGAAAATGAATGAATGAATGAACAAAAGAGGCATAGATTAGTCCAGACAAAAAGAGTCCAAAGCCTGAAAGATAAGATCTGTTATGTTTAATTTAAACCTATGCAACATTTTTTTTTACCATTAGTAAGAATTTATTTTAATATTAGCCTAAGTAAAACACAATCAGGAAAATAAATCTACAGAAACATTATATAATGCATCCCAAGTAAAATGTTTAGAATATTCAACATTTTGGGATAATATAATCGAAAATAAATCTTTATAGTGAATGGTCTATTTTTATGGATGAATTATATCTAAACTTTCTACCAGAAAACTATCAATACTTATGGATAATCTAGTTTATTTTATAGGTCTTGAGACCACTTACCATAATCAGAATTTCATAAAGTATCTATTTTGAGTTATGTGAATTTTAAAATCATATATTTAGGCCATTATACACATCAGATCAATTATTCATTTGTAAAACTAATTTTATAAGGGCATAAATTCCTCTATGATACTACAGTAAATATTTCAATACCACTGTGAGAGGGGGGGTCCTTAAAAAATAACAGCAAGTCCTATTGGCACAAGTGCTTTTTGATTTACTCTTCCCAAACCAGTAAAGCTTTGACGTTGGGCAAGATTATTTTTGTCACTTTCTATTTATATTCTATAGGAAAACAGTGAACACAACCACTCCACTCTACTATTATCTTCAGGATAATAGTAGTTTCTCAAAGTACAATAGATCAACTGACTTGATAGTTAATCTTTTTAAGGTAATTACTGAGCTTTTTATTTCACAGAACACAATCCATCATTTTTGTTGGTCTTTTTTTTTTTAAATTTGGTTCCTTGGATTATGAAGCTAAAGATTCTGAGTCAAATTTTTTTTTACAAGTTTGTTACTGTTTCATTTTTTACTCTAATATCAAATTAACTACATTTGAGGTTTCTGTCAAAGTTTTCATATTTAATTCATTTTTTTTTCATGATTCCAAATCCATTTGGGTTCTAGGATAAAACGTGTGAATGCTCCCTACATATTTCTTTTACTAAAATATGAAGATTAGGGAAAAATCTAATAAATTTGTGAAATTGCATTTAGAATTTGGACCCAAATGCTAACATTCACACCATAAAATTTTCTACACATTCTACAGATGTAGGAAGCTTATTAATTCATATTATTCTATAAATATATACTCTATATTTAATTTGATTTAACCACATTCCATAAGTTGAATTTGAGGGGTGTTTTTAAAGTGTGGAGAGTTTAGTGTTTATTTTTGTAATCTAACAACTTTATCCTAAAATGCAGAAAATTTTTCTGGCTGGCCAGGAGGAAAACATTTCAGTGTTGAAAAGTCCATTGACTGTAACAGCCCAGGAAGCATGCCGCAGGTACAGTAGAAGAGATGCCCATCTTTGTGTAGCTGCTTTGCCAATTCCAGCTGATGATTGTTCATCAACTTTTCATTTATAACCACTGTGAGCCGCTTTCTTTTTTCCAGACTCTCCAAACAGCTTCCTGCACCTGCATGACTAATAACAAGATCTGCTTTCTGAAGGTCTTCTTTCAATGAATCCTTGTATCTGTAAACATCCAGAGTAAGTGACTCCGTACTGAGTGGTTCAGGTACCACCTTTCCTCTACCTATTTGTAGGACAAGTCGGCTGTAACGGAGGCTCTAGATTATCACGTCGTGAAAGAAATGGCTCCGCAAGAACTAGAACACCACGCAAAGACTCTGAAAAAGGTGTCACAAACTAGGGAGGGAGAGCAAGGAACAGGGTCTGTCGTGGCCCACAGCTGGGGTTGCGCGAACCACGAGCCCTGAGAAGGCGCGCTCGGGGGACGCCGTGCCGCGCGGGGACGCTGGCCGCAAGGGTGCCTGAGGCGGAGGTAAGGCACGGCAGCCTCGGCCTGAACGCCGGGGCAGGGCCGGGGCAGGGCGCCCAGCAGAACCAGCCGTGTCTTGCTGGACAGAGCCCGACGGAGCGAGACCACCGCGCGGCCCCGAGCGGGCCCGGGCGCGGGAGTATGCAACATATTTTAATCAGTAACATATTTAATCATTTTGGTAGCATGTTTTTTTTCATAATTGCATGAACTTTCACATCTTTATAATGCTGTTAACTTTTTGAAAATATTTTTAGTATCATTATGAAAATGTCACAAAGTGAAAATTGTTATTGCCTCCCACATCTACAATTTCTAAACATGGTTAAAATTACAATAACAGGATTTTCACTGATTTTGGATTATAGTCTCTAACAATTAAAACATAATTTTATAATAAATGCATTTTATATCTGGAGTTGAATATTTTACAAGCATTCCTCTGTGATTTTATAGCAATGATGAAAATTTTAATATTTTTTTTGTCATTTAGAAACCCTCTGTCTGATTAACCATAAATCAACATGGGTCATTAGCCTGGAAATAAGGAGTACATCACGGATATCACTTACCTAATTCTAACCTGGTATTTCATAAGATTTCTCATGTTATTGTTAGAGGCAAGATGAAGGAACGTGGGCTGGATAAAAATACAGTTAAGTTGAATTTATAGTTGTTGAACAACCAGATCCAAGAGGTATCAATTCCTGGATTAGTCACCATGGAGAGAGATCTCTGGTGGTCTGTCCAGTGAACTCTGTTTTATCAGTGGGCTTGATGAATATATTGACAGAATTCATATTGGTTTACAGATTATGCAAAGTCCAATATATGTAAAGACCAAAATAGTTTTTCAAATATTTTGATATGCTTGAAAAATAATTACAAACCAAAATGACAAAATTTTAACTGTACATAGGGGGAAAATACATCTTAACATTTAGGTTAAGGAGTTGCCATTGCTTTAACTGCAATGTAAGGTCATGTGGAAGGGCCTCAGGCAGAACTATATCCAAATACCTCTTTTTCCACATGCTACTGCCTTTGTGAACTTGTGAACTTAGGCAAGTGCTTAACTCTCTAAACTATCTATACAATAGGGAAAACAATTCCTGGTTGGCAAGGTTTTTAGAATAGAATTAGTAGTGTGCATGGTATGTAGTAAGCATTCACTGATGGTACTGTAATTATTACTGTAATGCCAAAAATAAATCTAAACAAAACCAAAGGTAGTTAGACCCTAATTCAATGGAGGTGATGTATGCTGGCCTGAACACATCTGGAAAATTTTGCCCCATGCTAGACACTACACTTCAGAAGGAATCCTGGAGAAGATCCAGAGAAAATCTAGACAAATCCATTTACATAAAGAACTTTTGAGGAAACTGGGTATTTCTGTCTTGAGAGGAAAGCCTAAAGAGATATGATAGCTGTCTCCAAATATTTTGAAGTATTATGTTGTGGAGGAAGTAGTATTTTTAGTCAGTGTTATTACAAGAGGCAGAAGAAAGACCAATACTTGGAAGTTTTAAGAAAATTAATTTTGTTATGATCTGAGGACCCTCTCAATGATGACATCTGTTCACCAATGAAGCAGGCTGCTTCAACACACACCATGCTCCCCTTCTTTTAAATATCAGGGAACTTATAAATAAAATTCATTGTACAGCTGAGAGGGCATTTTTAGATGTGTTATATTACTTAAAACCTCTCATTAACCCTGTAAGTCATGTATTATCATTCTTTTCCCCATTTTTCAGATGATAGACTATGCTTGACTTGCCCCAAATAACACTGATAATAAGCGTCAGGTCCATATTCTCAGAGTCCAAAATCTGTGCTTATTTCAGAATATAAATGTAACTGAGGGATTCATAAGCTGGATGTGAATCTGTTAAAGAAGACATCTACAGCCTTAAGAATCATGAATTAATAATCAATATATTTAAGTTTTCAGGCCACATCCAGTCTGATTCCACTCTTGTCTACAAGCAGTTCTCCCTTTATGTATACTATGTGTAGGGTATGGAACATTCATTATTTCCTTTGATTTGCACAGCAACCCTGTGAGGCAATAGGGCAGGTATTATTCATGTTTTATGTATACAGAAACCAAAATTGTGAGAAGCTAAATGATTTAACCAAGGTCACGGAGCTCAATAATGACAAAGAGGGAGAAACCAGAACTTCTGACTCTGTACATACTGCGCTTTCCACTACAATAGTCACCATAAAATTACTTAAAGATTCAAGACTTCTATAATGGACTAGGATGTGTGGGTACAGATAATTGTTGCAAAAAACTGAGTAACCAACGCCCTCACCTAAAATTATTTTTGTCAGTAGATTCTTTATATACAATATACTTGACAAAATTCCAAATTTATAGAACTGCGAGGTAGTTTTTCAATTAGGTAGAAAGCTATATAAATGTCTCTTTAAATTTTATTAGATGACACAATTTATCTTATTAACATATTCAGTATTTCACAACTCTTAGTCAGGAAATGCTTCCTAATTTATGACCCCAATTCCTCCTGCTCCAGTTTCCATCACATTCCCTCACGGCCTGTCCTCTGTGGAAAAAGAAACAAACAAAAAAGCTTCTTGTACATTTCCTTTCATCTCTATAATCATCACTAAATTATTGAAATAAGGCTTCACTATGTTAAATCTTGCTTTCATATTCTGACATTGTCACCTATTGTGCTTAGATCTCTCTTTATAAAAATAGTACCTTTATTTACTCCATTCTGGCATTATCTAAAAGACAAGGTCATTTGGACCAAATTTTTAATTACTTATATACTTGTTTTCCTCAAGAATATCACAAAATAGGAATCATGTTGAAATAACTTCAGCTTCCCTGTATGATTGTGAATATTTGAGTAAGGGGTAGAGATTTTTAGAGTTTAGGTAAGAACCTTTGTTACAACTGAAAGCTACAGAGTTGCCCTTTACTTCCTAGAGTCTCAACTCAAGATGCCCCCAAAAAACAGTTAAGAACTATATTCCATTATTATGATTGTGTAACAAATCACCCCAGAGCATGGTGGGGTAAAACGACCATATATTATGCTTAAAATTTTATGGGTCAGGAATTTGGATAGAGAACAAGAGGGAGAGCTTGTCTTTTCTCTACAATGTGGAGCTGGAAGACCCAAAATTTGGGGGCTGGTATCATCTGAAGGCTCATTACTCAAAGATCTGGTGTTGATGCTGTTGGTTGGGAGCCTCAGTTATTCTCCATTTGGGCTCTCCAAGTGGTCTCTCCATCCACATGGCTAGTTTGTGCTTTCTTACATCATGGAGGCTGAGAACCAAAGATAAACTTCCCAAGAGTGAGAGAGAGCCAGTATGAGCTATAATATTTTCTGACCCAGCCTTGGAAGTTCCACAGTATTACTTTTACCATATTCTATTGGTTGGAGCAGTTACCAGCCCCAGATTTGTGGAGAAGGAATATTTATGTTTCCACCTCTTCAGATGGAATGTTGGTCACATTGTTAGCAGAGCATATGGAAAGTATGTATATAGACATGCAGCCATATATAGAAAGTATCATCTGCCACTGTGAACCCTCTGTCCATAACATTCTACATCCCACCCACATGCAATATACATTCATATCTTGTCAAAAGATGTCCCATGACAGAACCAAGCTCAAGGTCCCATGACAGAACCAAGCTCAAGGTCCAGAATCTCATTATCTAGATCAGGTTCAGGTATAGATGAGACTCTTCAGGTATGGTTCCTTAAGTACAGGTATGGTTCCTTAAGTACAGATCCTCTAGTACTGTTTCTCTCAGTTTGAGGACCTATAAACCAAAACCAATTTGTCTGCCCCCCATACACCCAATATGCAATGGGTGGACAAGTTGAGGATAGTCACTATAGACCCTTCAGTTCAAAAATAGGAGAAGGTGGAGGCACACTGGAGTCACAGGTCCATAGCAATTCTGAAATCCAGCCAAGCACACGTTGCTAGTTCCTCAGGTCTCAGTCTTACTGCCCGGGATATGGTTCTTGGCTCTGCCTTCTAAGTTCTTGGTTCCACCCCCTGAGTCATTCTTCCTTTTCTATGTAAAGAAGTACCCTGTGTCTGCAGCTTGGTAGTTTTTGCAGCTTGTTTCCTACCTGCAGATATTTGGAGATCCAATAGTCTTCTTTTCATTGAGTACTTTCTCTGTCCCTTTCAGTCCAAAGTGATATAATTTTTAAAAAACTGTACATTTCCTGTGAATCAATTTATGATCTTCCCAACAAAACCATACTCATAAATCTCTTCAAGATAAGACATCTCTACATTGGAGAGGAACAATGCCCTACAGATTGTTAGACTCTTAGTCCTATTGTTTGACAGAGAAATAGAATGGTCCTCCAAGACACCACCTTAGATCTTTCTGAGCTCTTAACAAAGTGTCTTATAGTCTCCTCTTGCATATACTCAGCTCTGAAACCTTTTCTTAATTTGAGAATATTGGAGTGAGAAACTTTTTTTCAAACTTAATAATTACTGCTCTTTTATATTTATATTTAATAGTACTTCCTGTGTAGTTTATCTCTTATATTTTACTATAAGCATCAAAAGGAAGCCAAGTGGCAACTTCAACATTCTGTCTGGAAATCTCTTTAGCTATATCATCCAACTCACTAGCTGCATTTTTTACTTTCCATGTTACCATAGGTGATGGCGCAAAGTTTTCTACCACTATATAACAAGGAGTAACAAGGATCATTG